TCCCTACTTTTGTGTACGTATGATGTATGCTTGCCCGGCTTGGTGTCGTTTATCCGCACGTAAAATTATTTTTATTTAAATTATCGAACGTAATATATTTCCTTTTTAAGGTGTACGTACGTGTGTCTAACTGGGTATTACACGTCGGTGTGTTGTGAAAGAAAAAGCAAGAGAGAAAAAGAGAGAAAGAAAGAGACAGAAATGGAAAAAAGATTTAGGGAAACACAGATAGAGAGCGCGCGAGAGGCAGGGAGAGGCTGAAGGTCCTTCGTGCACACGAATTCGGTGCGAGTCACTGCGCCCGATCTGCACGATACTGCGGTCTCCGTTAGACTATCGTGTCTTCGCGATATGAAACGTTCCGAGTCCACGCGCATGCGTACTCTCGCGTCCTGACCGCCCAACCCTCTAACATACTACCCCCATTTTCTATCTTCTTTTTGCTCCTTCCTCTTTGTACTATTTTCATTTTTTACCTCCGTATCACTCTATCTTTTATTTCTGTTTTTACCATTTTTATTAGAAAATTATTAAGTATGAAAATCTCTCTTCTCGTGTATTACCTAATTTTATGATACTTATAACACGAATGTAGAACTACGATGTTTTTATTTGATTTTTGTTACGATTCTGTGTGTGTGTGTGTGTGTGTGTGTGCACGCGCGCGCGCGCGCGTGTGTGGTACTATAACCAGTCATGCTATACTTCTATCCTTTTATGGAACAGTCGAGCGCGCATACTCGAGAAAATGTTAAAAACCTTAAAAATCTTCCGGTATAAGAAGAATTGTGTACGATTCAGCTCCCAGATATTTCTTAATACTTCTTACGATTCTAGGGCAACCAGATTCGCAGAATTTTAACGCTAACCGAGAAAATGCCGATGAGATCGCACAATTAAATTCTCCGAGTCCCTGACCTATATATATGAGCTTCTTACCTACAATTTTTTAAACGTTTTTAACATTATCTTTTCCAAATCACTTTATAGTATTTGTTTAACATTCGAAATATTAATTTATCATATTTTTAATTATGATACAAATGGCGTATGTTAAATACTCATTAAAACATAACCTAAAAACAAAAGCAAAATTTAAAAAAAAAGGGGGGAAAAAGATACTTTTTTTTTATATCAATGAGTGACCCATACAATAACAGGGACAACAATGTGTCATCCTAAATTCGTATTCTAGGGATTTCTATTTCGCCAAGGGAATCGGCCGGTTCACCGCATTAAGAACTGTGATCTTTGATTGCCTCTGCAGAACGCGTACTGCGCATGTCCGAGGAAGCTTCCAAAACCTCAAAATACTTTCTGCCAAGAAAAATTCATCAAATCCCCTTCCTCGACAATATTTTTCACTCCTACAACTGAACGTGTCTAGCCATTCGACTATGCACTGTACCTTAATAAATGATGCATATCGTATTGTTGACGAATTATTAATTCTGCAATATCCGATCGTACGTTTGAAAACGATGGAAATCGAAATTTCTAAATATAAGTAGAAAATAATTTAAAGCTATCGGACTTAATTTATAAATTATAGAACATATCATATTCTAACGTTCGTTATGTAAATTAAAAACGAGGTTATATTTTCTATGAATAATATTGGTAAAATATTTTTACAGTTGAATATGAGAGATGAGACTAAAAAATATTTATATAAAGAACATTAGAAAAATTATGATACGCTATCGCGTGATTCCAGTTCAAACAGGTTTCCATCGAAACGATGCGTTTTGACGTCACACATGTCATTCAAACCTGTACATTAAAATTGTACTACCGCTAATTTCAACACGCATACAGTTATAACGAGATAAATTTTATTGCGGAGAATTAATATAATTAATTTTACTTAATCACTAACGGTGAGCAACGACTGACGTCAAATGGTGACGCCACAATTGCAATATACTAATTTTCGCTAAACAGGAAACACGTTAGTTTTTATATAGACCGTAATCAACCAGTTTCTTTTTTCCTCTGCTATATAATCGATGATAATCAAAAAGTTACGAGCTCTCATATATAGCTATGTTTCTATTTGACATGATATAACCTACTTAATACCACATTTCTCTAAAGGAAGGTAAAAGTTGCGCGAAAAGTACAGGAATCTGCATAACGCATAGTAGACCCCCATCTAGTAGAGGGAATTTGAACTTTGTACTCATCTACACTTATCCGTCGATAAAAACACTTTAAATTTTTTGAACTCAAATTATTTCGAATTGCATTTTTAATATAACAGAGTTTAGAAGGAGTCTAATTTTAACATATTACTCAAAATATTTAACAAAAATATAATGTGTAGAAGAAAATGTTTTTAGATGACAACAGTAGGTATTACAAGATACAGATTCGATCGCACTAGGTGAAGGAGTGAGGTCAGATAAAGTGCCATTTACGTCTTTTCTTTCAATTTCAATAATTTCAGAATAATTTTTGTGTGACAATGTTACTTTGATCCTCCAATATAAGAGAAAAATAGTATAGAATTGACCGCTTAAATGATTACAGTCCGAGGTCTAAGTGTTGTACCCGTTTATCTGGAGAGGTAGATTTGACCGTCGACATCTGACTTTTACTCCCTCTAGCGTGTCTACATTTAAATAACATAGCCAAAGTAACATGGTGTTTAGGTAAGGTGGATCTCTACTTTCTAACTTATAAAGTTCTTATCTAGATGGAACACTTAAAAAACTAAAAAATAATTTAAGTATAATCATGTTAAGTATCATTTTAATTGTAAAAATCTTAACAATTCGACCACAGTAATTTTATATACAGTATAAAATATATTAAGTTACAAATTGATAAGATATCAATTGTGGATAATACAGGCACCTATCTTGGGGCAGCAGTTCCAGGAAGTGGTGGAACTAGGATGTGGTCATTTCAATGGACAAATCAGTGACCAATCGAACGAACAGAAGTGTATATTTATACGAAGGTTATATAATACAGTCTGACAATCAGTAGCTCACACCAATTATTAACCCCTTGCTCCACGATTTAAGTTCTAATGGCGCGTGCTATAATCAACAGCATAGTTGGTCGAGCAATTTTGTCCAAACACGACAAAGAATAACACGTAATTGAGACAGAAAGACATCGGTGAAAACTAACCAAGAGTCTGACCCGTGTTTATGTTGGTTCCTAATCGAGCCTTTCACTCGTAACACTCATGTTTGGCCCGATTTCCTTACCACGAGTCTTACACGATATTGTAGACTGTTAAATATATCCTATATAATAAGATTCACTTGCAAAGAAATCGCTTTAACAAAAGCTCCATAAATTTCGTAACAAAAATTAGATGCTTAATGAAGAAAATTTTAACAGTAATTTTCCTTTCTGATTGTTAATTTTACTAAAAATGAGATATTACAATTTGTTTGTGAAGAGAAGCAAAAAGAAACAAAATTTATAAATGTGACTGTATCGAATGTACAGATCAAACGTATTTCTTTAAATAATTTTTAATACTCGTATTTATAGGATAATTCAATACACCCATTTTTTCATTATTCGAATTTGCCGCCAATATATTCGCATTTATTGGCGGTTTCTCTGTTACTATCAGAATGATTTAAAAATCATTTTCATATTTTCCACTGGTTTATAAACGTCTGAGTTTATGCACATAAAGCAGCCTACTGTCTGAATGATTATATTCACGATGTGATTATCAATCTGGAATGTAGTGTTTAATTACACCATCCGGTTATATTAACATATTAGATAAGATTAAAATAATGTTGAAGAATAAAGGATGTCAGAATAAAGGATCAGACATTTACAATTATGCATTTCTGACTATAAATCAAAGCATTTTCGATTTTATAATGATAATTATAAGAATCTATATTATTCCCAATACAAAAATTCAATTTATAAAAGAAACTAGGTTTTAATAAACCAATATTAAAGTTAAGAAAAAATAAAATATTTATTTCTTTATAAAAATTGTAAGAATTCATATTAGAAAACATATATTACCTAATGAATATTACCTAAACACATCATAAATTTAGAATAATTTTTTAGCCGCCAAAAATGATGCGCGGGATAATGTAGAGGAATATGCACCATTTTGAATGAACACCATTAAGGTTAAGAACCATGACATCAGTAAGAAAAAGCTCAAATAATAAATAACTTTCATAAAAGTATTTTCAAAAATTTCAATATTCAAAGTTATTTCTCTTTAAAACATTCAAATTTAATACTATAGATGCATTGTGTTGTAGCTACATAAACACTACGTAGTTAGAAGTAGCGTCACTTACAGATGACATTCCAAGGTTCCTTCCATGACCACAACATACACGCTGATGATGTTTTCGTATGTTCTCCAGTATTTCCACACGATAGGGACAAATGTTGTCACTTCGCACCAGTTTATGTGTTGAAAATTTCACAAATTTATTACAAAACAGAAGTAAACACAACTACGATACTAACTGCGGGACTGTCGCGCGCAAACTGAAGCCAGTAAACTTCGATCTAATCCGATACTGCGCAATATTATGACAGTACTGTAGATAAATTTATAAGTAACAAACTTTTAAATTTACACATGATAACTTAATATTGTAGGAAATATTATTTATATGATTAATGAAATTGCATGTTATTATTATATTTTTTAATTTAATATAGTACCTGTTTTTACATCTGTTTCTAGATACATTTTTTTATACCACCTTTTTTTTCCATAAATTTTTGATAAATATATTATGTTGTTCAATGAAGGGACAAAAGATTATTTGCAATTTTTTGCTAACTTTTTGCACAATTAAATTATGTGAGAATATAAACAAAATGGACAAATTAATACATTAGTTTGTTATATCGATTATATTAATATCCTATTATTTTCATCTGTTACACAATCAAAATTTATTAAATAATAAAAAAGAAATATTTCAGACAAATAATTATTCCATTGATTAATATAAAAGTAAATTTATTTATTACATTCATAAATAGCTGTAATTGGGAACACTGAACATTATAACTGGTTGTAGGATAAACGTTTAACAATGCAGGTATGTTTCATTAAAGAAAAGAAAGGAATCTTTATTTTAAAATACCATTTTTTCTTTATTAGTTAAACTGTTTAGTAAGATCTTTTCTGTAGTAATAGGACCACCTATGAAAGAAAACAAATAATCAGTACATTATGATTAATATATGAATCTTTAAAAGTATTTTTTTAAACTTACCTAAAGTGCTGGATAGATCTTTATGTCCAGCATCTTTTCTTGCTGAATTTAGTGCATTCCAAATTGCAATAGGTATAACATAAGACATACATAATGGTGGTTCACCAGTAGCTATAATGTTTAACAAATATTAGAATTGGATGCACACATTAGAAATTAACTATTACTTTTTATCCATTATTTTACCTTTTGAGCGAAGAGCACTTAATTGATTAGAATTATTTTTAGGGAAATAAATTCGGAAATCAACAGGAATGTCCTTTACACCTGGTGGCTTATAATTCTGTAAAAAAATATATTTTCAAGTTTTCCAAAAATTCTTCCTACAAATAGTAAATTAGACAAATTTAACAACATACCCAACTTCTATTATTTGTCAATAGACCAGTTTTTCGATCATAAATTAGGTCTTCAGAAGTCCAGTACCCGAGACCCATTATAAAAGCACCTTCAACTTGCCCTACGTCTAGTTCTGGATTCATACTTCTTCCAACATCTTCAATTATATCTACTCTGTGCACAATATGCTGTCCAGTTAACACATCGATTTCAACTTCCGCTATAGTTGCTCCATATATGGGGTAATTTTTTATCTCATCTTTTGCAGTAAACCTGTAATATATATTTCCTAAATATACGAAAATCACTTAATATTTCAGTAATTATTAAATTATTAGAAAAACATACATATATCGTGCGCACAAGTCAACATCTTTCGAATGTGCTGCCATTACTAAGTTTTGCCATGAAAGATTCTCCATCTCTTTTTTAATAGGTTCTAGTCTATTTATCAATTCTTTACAAGCCATCATAGTTGCCTGAAATCGTTAAAATACTTATCTATTTTTAAATATATAATATTTTTTATATAATGTAAATATATTTATGAAAAATATATCTCACATATGAACAAGTCTCACTAGTGATACTACCACCAGTAACAAAATTATTTGGAGATGTTAGATTGTTGGTTGGTTTAACAGTAACCAACGATAAATCGATACCTAATGTATGTGCTGCTACTTGAGCTACCTATAATAAAAATGAGTATATATAATTATTGTATCATATATGTTCTTTTTATAAAATTCTTTTACTGTAATAAATTTTGATGTAATCTTTCTTTGTACCTTAGTATTAATTCCTTGACCACATTCAATTCCTCCGTGAGAAACAGAAACTGTACCATCTCGTGCATAAATAGAAACTAGTGCGTGAAATTGTCCCCAAAGACCCAAAGGATACATCATGGGTAACAAAGCTATTCCTTTTTTTTTCCATCGATTTTCCTATAAAAATTATGTAAACTTGTTTAAATAATTCATATTTTTTTAACATGTCAAACATGTCTTACATTGTTAAAAGTGTCTACAGCTCTTTTTCTAATATTGTAATCTGCATTTTGACACAGTTCTTTTATCATAGATTGTAACACTTTCTTATGGTCCTCAGTCATGTTCATATATCTAACCTCCAATGGATCTTTTCCAATTGATTTTGCTATGTGTTCCATTATATTTTCCACCATAGCTACAGCTTCTGTTGAACCTGCATAGTATATATTCAATAATTAGAGAATGTTATTTGAGAGAACCTATTCTTATTTTTGCTAGGATAACTCGAATCACCTGGAGCTCGGCAATAAGTGTTGGAAGGCAAATCAGTTTTGACTTCAAAGCCCTGATAGGTCCAAGTTGAATTATCATAACAACTAAAATCATCACAAACGAGAATTAAATTACATTTCTTTAATCATATATATTTTAAAATATATTAAAATATACATACCTTGGAAAATGATACCCAGCCACAGGTGCATGAGGTTCGTTAAAATTGCAACCACTATTTCCCCAATATTTTGAATTCAAATACTGAATGCGACCATTGTCATCTACACCAATTTCATATTCTTGACGAGTATCATATCGCTTTCCTATAGCAAGCATGTTACTTTCCATCGACATAATGAATCTAGTTGGTCGATTTAACTTGTAGCATACTAAGGCACAAGCACAGGCAATTTGTGTAGCACGGGATATCTTTGCACCATAACCACCGCCTAGCCTCCTCACGTTAATATTAATACTGCAATTAATAATTAGAAAAAAGAAAAAGAAAAAAGAATAGTACATTGAATAAACACTAAATTATACTTCTAACTTTACCTGTTATTCTTCACACCAAGGCATTGAGCTATAGCTACTTGAGTGAGATCTATCCATTGAGTGGCCGGAAAAATGTCTATTCCGTCTTCTATTGGCACGCAAACGCAAGTTTGAGTTTCCATTGTATAATGATATTGACCTCCGCTTCGAAATACTCCTTTTATCACATGCTTTACATCATTTCCTATATTATTTAACAGAATTTAAATAATATATAAAATAAAATAGTAAAACAACTACACAATAAGTAAGTAGAAGAAAACATAAACATTTATTCACAAAATAATTTATTTTATTGGTATACCTTTCTTCTGTGCTTTGACGTTAATCGATTCAAGCACCCGAGATTCATTATTCGAAGAAAGTACATCTTCAATTGTTAATAGAAATTTTTCTGGTGCAACATCAGCGTAAGAAATATGCACCATCTGTGCTGCCTGATTAGCAATTGCGTGACTTGTTGCAACAATTACTCCAACTGGTTGTCCAGCAAACTCAATATTTTTATCTACAAACAGCTATAAGTACAACAAACAAATTAGGACAAGTTACAAATGTTAAATTTTCATAAAATACTTATTAATAATTTAACTTACTACTTCATCATAATTCATCATTAGTTCCTGTGCACTTGCTGGTACAAATACATTTTTCCCAGGAATATCTTTGGCAGTGTAGAAAGCTATTACTCCTTTCATTTTCTGTAATAACATACGTAGATTTAAATTGTAAAAATAAGTAAAACTTAAAATTGATGATCTTACAAATATCAAAACTTAATTAAATCGGTAGGAAAAATATTACCAATGCTTCAGAAGCATTAATATTCTCCACTTTGCCATTAGCTACTGTGGTAAGGACGAAAGCACAGAAGACTTCATCTGGAAATGGTGGAATATCGTTCACGTATTGTGCCTCGCCTGATGTTTGGTATACAGCTTCCATTTTTGGCATAGGTTGATTTAAAGGCCATACATTCTTATCCGTACCGAAGGTTTGCTTGCCTAAAGAAAGTTCACGTTCCAAAAGGGATCCACCACTGCGTGATCTTGAATCCACATTTTCCGGCTTAATACTTAAAATAAACTTTAAAAGTATTTCGTTTAAAGTAAATATCTAATTATTTAAAATTTCAATAATCTTTCGTCTAGAAATACAAACCTTAAAGAAAAGCCCTTCTGCAAGCGTCTTCCTGAATATTGGGGAATAATCAGGTAATATATGGTCAGGTTGAAGTTCCGCGTCTAACTTTGCTATAGCTTCTTTAACTACGTTCCTATCGAAAATGGATTTCTGGACCAAGAAGTTTTCAGTCTTCGATGCATGTAGCTAGAAAAATCAATTTGACTCGGATTTAGATTTAATATCTTCAATTATCTTCCTTAAGGAGAGTTTTACTTACAAAATCCTTGGTTATTCCGCCAATTATAATGTTTGGTTTTTCCAGAACTTTCCCAGTTCCGTCCAATTTAAATAAGAACCCTGCGTTCACATGGGCGTGAGCATTTTGTGCTCGTGGCATTATCTACGACCAATAAATCCTTTTAATAAGAACTACAATTTTAAATACGTAATTTATTTTAAATAATGTTACAAAAAATGTACCTTGTAAGATTTGTATTCGTATTCCTTACCAAGGGCAGGTAAAAGTATACTGTATATAATTTTATGCTTCATATCGAAGTCCAGAAATTCCAACAAAGTCATACTAGTCTTCTCGCCATTAGCTTCCACTATTTATGGGAGAAAATTAAAATTATATTATTCTATAATAGAAGCATATATGAATAAATGTTCGAAATATCTTTATTTAAACTTGTTCGTTTACCTATATGCAACTGCGCTCCTGCAGTTTCGAAAATCAAAAACAGATCTGATGGAAACTCTCGATGCTCATGCTTGATCATTAAATTTCCTCCTACAGATCCAACCTATAATATAAAATTTAATTGGCAATTTATATTTGTTATACATACAGTTAATTACATTTACATACATTTCTCACGGGAACACTAGCAATTAAATCGATATGTTTGGCCAAATGATGCAAGTATTCGAAATTTGGTTCTTTCGAATATTTTTCAAACGTTTGCATCGCTACAGTAAGAGAAACATTGCCCCCAATAGTTAAAGTATTATTGTCTTTTTTTACGTTACGCAAATCAGGTATATCATTTATATCAATAGTGATATCGGGTGTTTTCAATCGATATACACCTACAAAGAAAAAGTATATAATAAATATATCATAAATTATCTTACATATATATGGAATAATAAATTGTTATTAATCATTACCATGTGCGGTGTTACCACCATGTAAAACGTAACTGGCATTTGGATATTTTTGAAATATTTCAAACAAGTCATCAATTGACAAAACTTTATGAAATTCACAGCCACTCAATTTCATGTCAATTTTATCATTCGTGTCTTGAACTCGTGTGTGACAACCATTACAACCATTTTCACACGGCATCCCGGTTTTTTTACAAGTTCTTATGTTGTATAATTCCTTGATAACAAAAATTTTCTATTAAATTTTAAAGATACAAATTTCTACCAATGTTGCATAATGGATACCTCTGATGCATATTGAATTGCTCATTAGTAGGAACTTAAAATTGTATTTCTTATCCTGTTTTATAATTTTGAATAAATGCTACCAAAAAGTACTATTTCTATAAAATATCGAGTATATCATTTTACCGACTACTTTATACGACGTATTCCCGTGTACTCGAGAACTTCATGCTTTATGTCATCCTCACAGCTCGTTTCCGACATTCATTCCAGCCACTGTCAATCTCGTCATGTGTCGAGATCTAACGTCGTTCTTATATCAGTGTTTTTTCCAGTATCAATGCGAGAGCCTGTCAGCTCCGGTCATCAGGTGAACCTGTCGTGTACACAACTGGGGTATGGGTCTTGTAGTCTGACGTTCATGGCGAACCTATGGTCAGACTTCATGGAATAATTGCTTAATTGGTTTCTTCCCCATGCGACAGGAGTACGGAATGTTCATCCGGCTACTAGGCCTCGCTGACTCTCGTATTGATTTTGGAAGTTTCATTGGTTTGTCGACTACCTTGTGGTTGCCAAGGCGTGGTGTGGTTGGCAGTGGCTGGACGTGGGCTGAGTCTGATCGAGAGAGTGCTAGGTATGAAGTTGTCTTGTACACTTCAATTTTTCTTTGTTCGTGTTTTTCATACTTGATTCCCTATTTTTGCAGGAACTTAGATATTTGAACCTGCTGAAATGGAATATTTTAGTGTTGCGATAATAGAGTAACAAATTTTAGTACCTCGACTCGAAGACCCTTTTGTAAGACACGAAATTTAATAAAGTATCAGTAGCTTCGCTTTAATTTCTTTCGCTCTAAGTTAGATTAGGCTATCTTTGATACGGGTAGCGCTATAGTAGAATTGCGTCAGTAGGGCGCAATGCCCAGATCTCGATGCGTGACTGACTCCACATAGTGAGACCTAGTAATTAGTATTGTTTTCCAAAGAATAATTTTTGGGAAACGATACCAAGCTAAGAGCTACGCTTCAAGTTTAAGATATTTACTATCTATTGTAATATCTGTAATATTCGTTTTCAGGAAAGTAAGCTCCACTAATATTAAGCAATGGATATTACAGATTTAAATTTGTGTTTGCACAGTGTAATTATGCAATCCTATTTTACGAGCCATTCATGTTATTAATAATAAATATTACCAGTGCTAATCTTATTGTTGACTTACTTCAATATCTTGAATACTTTTTACGAAGTCTTTTGGTGCATCATTAGCGTAGCTCTTGAATGTATCAAGAATAGGACGATAACCTGTACAACGGCATATATTGCTTCCAAAAGAATTTTCTATTTCTTTCATTGTCAACTGTTTGCCTTGTAAAAGACTGAAAAAACGTGACTATTAAGTCAATGAAATTTATTTATGAAATTTATATTAAAAGAAAATATAAATTGAAACGTTGTAAATATATACCTATACATATTCATTATCATTCCAGGTGAACAATAGCCACATTGAGAACCATTTTTATCTGCTAATGCTGCCTGTAAAGTGTGATAGCCATCTTGCTTGTTACCTAAACCTTCAATGGTTTTAACAGCCCATCTATAGGAGGAAAAATGAACAACATGAAACTACATAATTTGAGTAGCTATGAAAAACAAATAATTACACTAAAATAATTAGTTCCAAACTTACCCATTGCAAATCAAAATTGGTATCAGGCAAGAATTCACAGACATTACCTCACCCTTGATATCTATAGACACAATACATGCACCACAGCCTCCTTCATGGCACATAGCCTTAGTTCCTCGTAATCTTGCGTAATCACGAATAAACTCATTCAGGGATGTTCCAGGGTGAATATTTTCTGCCACTGAATATAATTATACCATTGTAATTATTAATTTTTGTTTAAACTCTGATAATTTCGATAATTGAAATATATACCAGTATAAATTTGTCCATTGATGGTGAATTCTACAGTATTCTTGGAAGCCCTAAAACAATAATTTTTGTATTTGTATTTTGTATAATAAATAAAAATTCAAATAATATACTTAATATTTTTATGCGTTTATTATAATTGTAATATATATTTATTACAATTATAAGTAGCTTTTAGCATTAATTATTCTAGCCATATAACAATACTAAACGCCATGTTGTACAAACAAGCACGCAATGAATATTATTCTCGATGTTAATAATATTCTCATATAAATCGTGTCTCTTTATTTCTACTAATTTTATTTTAGATATTATACTTTTCCTTTGTTATTTTTAGTTTCGTTTCATACATATTTATATTGAATAAGTAATTAAACGTTTAACAGATAAAATAAGTCCTAAGTCATTTTAAACATTAAAAGATAAATAAAACTATTTATATTATTATTGTATCGGAACGAAGCAAAATCAGATAAAAAAGAGCACTTTGAATGTTTCAAACAGCGACATGCATTGTTTAAAAGGAAGATATAATAAGATATTTTAATTTAACGTGTTAAGATAAATTGCCTCATGCCCATATCCGTGTGAATGTTAGATGAAATGCTACAGTACGTTATATGCCAAACAAATTTGTTGTTATAGTAAAATATACAATTAACCCACATATAAAACAACATAAATAATTTCATTCCAATTAGCATGAAAATTGTTTACAATACTTTTACGATAAAAATTATTTTCGGCAATTTATCGTTTAAAATAAAATGATTTATATCCACAATGTAACGAAAGAAATGATTCATACCTCATTTTACACAAAACAAGTTACTATCAAATATAATAATATTACAGAAAGGCAAATAAATACGATTGATAATAAATGTTAAAAGTAATTTCCGTCGCAACATTCATATCAAACATGTATCAAAAATACAATATGATGAAACAATAGTTTCCTGCTACTTATCAAACACAATGAGTAGGCACAAAACTTCGCAGAAAAATGAATGTATTAATGTATGGTTTGATGAACGAGAATCACACGAAGGAAGACGTGATTACATAACGATCATCCGAAAACTAAAAAGGCTCAGACAGCAATGAACATGCCGGTAGCGTGTTGTTGGAAGAGTATATAATGCCGAATGCCTCTCTTCATATGCAGTACGAATATTACTTTCTCCTTCTTGCTAACCGATGATAAAGTCACATCATCCAAAACAAAAACTTGATATGATTGTGCAATTGCAATTCTCTCATCATTGAAGTCCTTAATGAATATTTCAACAATCAGTGTTAATGAACTGTAATTCATATTTTTTTAATTTTTAATAAAAAATATAGCTTGCACTACAAACCAATTTAATCCATTTCCTAAAATTTTCTTTTGCTTTCTTGTAAATAAACTGGCGGAACTAAAATTTTTGTCAATGACCTTTAATTGTATTTGTGTATTTATATCTCGTGACATTCCTTTTTATTCTCAAGAACTTTTGCGTGTTTGTGAGTCGATGATATAATAATAAGAAAACTACAACGTGACTTAACAATGTAGAATGACGAAGTAAACTTTATTAACATATATAATTCCTTATAATTATATATAACTCATAAAATGCTTCATTATTTACGTAATACAAACCATTTAGTAAGTCATGTAAAGAATGTCGATTGTAAAATTAGTCAATTTCAAGCTTCTATTATTAGAATTTTATTTCTAATACGAAATAGAAATTAATAGTTTTATATCTAATATAAAAGCAATTAAGCATGCTTTCTATTTTAACCTAAAACTCAAAACGGGATAATTATTATAAGCAAATCATTCGACGTTCGTATAATAGTTTACCAATAAAATGCAAAGATACAATAAAAACGCAAATAAAATATACGAGCTTAAAAATCGTAAATGCATTTGTACAAAACCTTCAATTCCTAACGGATTAAAAATGGAATTTTTAACCTTGTAATAATTTGTCAAGATAAGTCGCTGAAACGTGGATTTATTTGTCTTTTAAGCAACTGAGAAGAGAATATATGATGGCAGTGTAAAAACAGTATTTATGTCTCCTTTTATAAAGCTATGTTTTGTGTCAACTGGTAATAAATTATACTCGTATATCACATACAAAACGAGTACAATACCCTTCACTATTATTAACCTGCAACGCGTCATCGATTTATCGAAATCAGATCGATGCACTCACGCGTAGTACTTCCGTGTATCGATAACTCGTGAAAACAATCACGTGTAATTCTACAATAATTAAATGTGCTAGTACTTTGCATGTAGTACAATTTGAAAACGATTTTATATATGCATGATATTTTTGTTCTTTTCTTTGGATTATTGAATAGTATAACGGCTCTATAATTATCGTTTTAGAATTCTTTAAAGGTATACAAAATATTTCAAGAAATATGGAAAATGTTAGTGGTAACACGTTTCTCGTCCAAATTTAACTAACGTGTGTGTTAGTAAGTACTTCACAAGGCATCTAATCGCATAAAGAGATTATCGTTTGCGATAAATTCGAGATATGGTAACATAAGTGCAACTGCACGTTATTTCATATTATTCACTATAATAACTATTACGTAAGTGACACATTAATTCGTACCGATTTTACAATATAATACGTGTTATATATACTATAAGATACATGAATATTATACGAAATAAATGTATTATATCGACTAGAATTTTTGTTCTTTGATTTCTAAAAATGTCTTTTAGCGTTCTCTTTTTTTCTTCTTACAGCGTACTTATTATTCCAGAAACATAATCCCACTAATTTGTAAATTAAATATCTATGTCAGTCATTAATGGAAAATGATACCTCGGTCTTGTTATTTATCGGTAATTGGAGACAAATTAACTATCGAATGATTCAGAATTTACGACAATGCATTTCATTGATAATTAACAGTAATTGCAATGCAACAAGATAATGTTACCAATTAGTTTTTAACCACTGTAATTCCGTTGGTGTTGTAAACGATATCAATGAAAATCTGTATACTACAATGGCATGTGTACAATGCCATAATGAATTTCTGGCTCTTTCTGGGTAATTTATTCAGGTTATAAGCAACACAAATTGCATCTTTCCGTTACTTAACGACCCTGAGATTTGTTTACCACAATTTTCTGCCTATTAGGAAGTAAAAAATTAACTGCATTTCGTAACAAGTAATTTTGTTATAAAAATTAATTTATTGGAACTTTTATTATAGGAATTCTACGTTTCAGAAAATTAGGAACAAACTGAGAAAAGTTTCTTATCGTCCTATGAAGTGCAAAGTTCAGTGTTTTCATGACTTTTCCATGACAACAACACATAACAGTCTTTGGAAAGTTTATCTCTGATATAGTTTATTAATATACGCATACGTAGCATAAATTACAAATGACTTTGAATATGTCCTACAAATGTAATTTGTGTTTTCTACACCTAATAATTTATTCATTTGATTGAGCAAAGTCCTATTTTTGTAAATTTTAACATGATTCTTCGTTTGTTTGAATGATCAGCTTTCACTGTTCGTGAGAGGACTTGCATTTTAGGGTCAGGGAGGAAACGTTCACTTTTCCTAGGTATTATATATCCAAAGAGATTGCGTTTAAACAGTTTTTGCAACTTTCTTTTTCATTGCAACAACTGTCGAAATATTTTAAGGCTACCCAATCAGAACCAAATAGGAAGAATGTAAACTAAAAATAATATCTGCCTAATTCGCATATTCACCTATAATTTTGCGTATTCTCGTTCTTTCACATCTAAAGAATGAAAAATGGAAAAGATATCTGTGAACAATTATTCTATCGTGTCAAAGAATGTAATTTGTTATATGGTAAGTTTATGGTATATGGTAAAGAAAAAAATAGTTGATACTTTTATTTAAAAATTTTGCAATGATTGTTAGTATCGTGAGTGCTCTATAAAACTGAGATATCACTTACCCAATGTTTTGTCGGATGCAGTCCATTTTCACAAGTATTCAAAGTGGAAGTTCAACGAGAAGTCCAATTGTTCTTAGAAATGGATTCAAATTGCACAATCGAGTGTAGGTAGCAACCAAGTGAACCGAAGTTGTATCTTACTCAGCGAGCTACAATCGTCTTTACGTCTCGACATCGTGGCCTCCCACCATCTGTAAGAAAAATAGTTGTAGAAAGGGAAGATTATTTTCAGTTACGTTCCATTACTACAAACCTGACGTCTCCCCGAAATAAGGACAGTATTTCCATTTCCTTATCTGTCATTTTTCTACAAGCTCAGAGTAAAGTCCATGTATCATAGGTTATTCTCTGTTAATTAATTGAAATCTTTCAGGGCTTCTGAAACCAAAGCCACCAAAAACTTCTGGATGACCTAAATAAGTATGTAGTTATAAAGAAAAATGAAGCGAAAGAGGATTTCCAAATTCTAATCTCTTCTCTTATTATGATAGAATGAACAATGGTAATTTCAATAAATACTCTATTAAACGCCATTCATGTGTTACATAATAATCGTTTACAACATATTCGTAGCGCATAATGATATCAATGACAATTAATACAAATTAATCGTAAATAATAGCGTCTCAACTAATATATTTTACTCGGTGTACACCTTCCGTTTGAATTTTACGCACGTGAATTATGACTATCTATGTTTAAAGAGAGACGTCCTGACAGAAGGTAGATCGGAAAAACGAGATGTATAATATGGCATACTAGGGTTTTTCATCAGATGATCAGAAAAAATAGCGGGTTTTCTTCGTGTTTCTATAGACTCTCTAGTTTGCTACCGATATATCGATTCGGTCGAGTTCGTCTATTCTTTTCTCTCTCTCTCTCTCTCTCGCTCTCTCACATTCTTTCTCTCTCTCTCTCTCATTACTTTCTCGTTAAACAAAATATTTCCGCTAAGGGCTAGCGATTTTACAGAGGTTCCTTCAGAGAGACGCTCTTAACACGTTCAGTGGCCGTCACTAATTGTTTTCCCGTCTTTACTAGCTATGAGTTAATCTTTGTATTAACATCAATTCACAGTCGGATAGAATGGACTCTTATAGAAGAAATTAATGATATGTACAATTCATCTAACTAAGTATCTAATTTTATTTACAATAATTCTGGATCGATCTTTATTCCTGTTCAGAGATAGGCTGTACACTCAAAAATCAATGGGAAATAGTGTCAGGGGACAGTAAGTTCAACTTATTGTCTCATAGGGATTCCATCGCATGTCATACGACCTAATGCAAACTAAAGACTGAAGGTAGAGTATGCAGCTTCTGTTGGCTACGGTTACGTTGCTCAAAATAATTGAACTGTTAAGTAATTATTGGTACAAAAGGAAAAGTGACTATACTTCGACTGAATACATAAATTACATAGCATTTGAGTATCATTTTGAGCTACGTACTACTTAGACTCCACTCTATCAATTGCGAATGACAATACTAGTGGACCCTTTTCAGTCGATCAGTGATCATTAGTGATGTATTCAACAGTTGTTCCATAAGATTGGAATGCAATAAAAAAAGGGAAGCGAGAAGATCGTTATTGGGTTCCTTCATAACACTGAACGTGTTAATGGCTAGTCGACAAAAAATATTGATACAGTGTTTGTTTCTCGTTTATCTCTCTACGAATATCGCGTCTTCTTTCGCTGGCTTACAGGGGAGAGCTATAGATTATAGATCGCTACTGCCCTATAATTCTCGATAAAATATGTGTTATATATGTATATGTAATATTGTCCTGTTACACTCGATCACCAATAAGTTTACACGAATGTTTGTTTGTGTTTTGCAATGTAAAGTATTGTTTTAATCGCATTCCAACAGTACATCATTGTTCAACCAACCTGTTTAGAATCAAAAACAAAGCGTGAAGTGTAAAAAAATCGATTTACATTTATTCGACTGTTTTTGAGCTTCGAGAGAATTACACTTTTTCTCCTCCCCCATCGTTAATATAGAGTATATTATCTCGCCAATCTGAACTTCGGACGAGACTGAAATAACGAGGTACTGCATTATCACTATTTCCATCTTTTTGTGCGAAATGAGACCTCGTTAATTCCAACTCTGTTGGATCTTTCACGTTAACTATACATATCATCCATTAAGATATTCTTTTTGCATACATCACAGTTCAAAGGTTTCTTTATAGCTATGACATTTCTTCCGTATATTTAGAAACATTTCTTTCTTTAGAATGTAAAGCTAAGGAAATAAACGCAGAGGAATTTTTGCGCCTCTGAAAATAGAACTTCATTAATTCGAAATTATTGATCCGAAATAATTCTTCTTGCACCGGTAATCCGAATCAATGAGGTTCTATAGTGTAAAAGGAAAATTGTTCGAGGTAACACAAAGCGCAACACAGAGACCACCCTCTTAAACTTAATGGTGACCAGGTTTTTCGCGCATGATTCGTAGTCGTTAATTGAACATGTACTTTATGATCTAGTTTTCTATGGCCGTTACTTTCGCCAACTCCTAGAACCGTATTATACAAGAACACCTAAGCTAAATAAGTCACAGACACAGACTTTGCATCAGGAGTGCACGGATTCGTTAAATAGTTACGTCTGGAGGATTAGGAACCTCGTGAATTTGCAATCGTCGTTAGACAAAGGGATTCAATCGGAGAATACGTTTGCCATGTTAAATTTCAATAAGGTATATTTTTAAATTAGCCTCTTTTCAATTTTGAATGCGGTTTGTGCTTGGTTCAATGTGAAACAAATATCTGTGCACCTCTGATCTCGCGAAGTCCTACACTTTGAACTAAGCTTTCTCAAATTCTCATCGATTCGCTCTCCTTTTCTTGCAGCCTTCCTTTCTACACGCACGACCGATATAACAATCTTAATTAAGAAGTTGCTGCTATGCTGAAGAGCTGTTACGTTTTACACTTTTGCCAATGCAATTTTTAATTCATTAATTAAGTAATATTTTTAAACTTTAATGTTCAGTGGGAATGTATTACTGAATCTGGTAAAAATTCAAAGAATCTTATAAACCAACATGCATTATGCGACTGTTTCCCAACCTTTCCCGAATCGCAACCCCCTGTTACAATATATAATACAGGTCCTCCACTCACATTTGCACAAAAGACTACAGAAAATACATTAAAAGTAAAATTTCTAAGACATCATAATCTAATATTTAATTAACTTAATACCATGATTACACTTGCATCTGATTTTTCACGTATTTGCCACGGGGAACCTTAAGTTACTTCCAATTTATTAAAAAATGTATAAGTAAAATATTGAAAATAAATAAATAAATTAAAATAGATAAGCGGTGAAAATCTTTGTGATTAGGTTGTCTATAAAAAGAATTTCAGTAAATTAAAAGTAGCTAAAACGCCCTCCTTGGGGATCGCGACACACATGTTGGGATATAGGTTTTAGATGTTATTAAATTTTCCAAATAAAATAAAAACCGACTAATTATTGTTAATCTAACTCATAGTGACCAGAATGAGTCTAAAAGGGTTACCAGTAACCCCAAAACATTCTTGTTTCATTTCTAATTTTTCCAAGCTTTGCTTACACTTCTATACACGGCTTCCCCTAATCACGAATACCGCTTGGATTAGCCACGAAACAACATGTACGGATGTACATCACCACAAACAACAAGATAAAGAAAATTGATACATTTTACATTGTTTTTTCTCTCCGCTTAGGATCTCATGCAGCCTCTTGAGAATTGCGAGATGTGAGTAAAGATATTCATATATATATATATATATATATATGTGTGTGTGTGTGTGTGTGTGTGTGTGTGTGTGTGTGTGTGTGTGTGTGTGTGATATAATCAGTAATATACAGGGTGTACCACGCAATTAAGATAAGCTGTACCGAATGTTCCTCTATTGCACTCAAAACACTGTTTGATTATTTTTTTCTTTACTTTGCTTAACATGGAACATATATCTCTTTCTTTAATTTTGTATGTTTGTAGTAAACACATTGTTGAATGTCTTAAACGGTAATAATAGGGCGAGAAAACGTGTCTTAAGTAGCAAGCCATTCAACAACATGCTTATTTGTGCAATTGCATTTTTAAATATAGAGAAGCATGAAAGTAATTCAAGCATATGCTTGAATCTATATCATTGCATTTTGTCTTTTAACATTTCCTTAACTCTGACTATTTTAAAGATACAGCTTGTCTCATTTACGTGAGGCATTCTATATAACAAACATTGTTCATGAAGATAGCTGCACGCACCAAGGGGACGAAATGAATCCTGAATTAGACCTTAAAACAGAAATGACTATATTAATAGTACCATACTGAATTGTAAATCCGCGAGTTACATTCATTATAATTTATCGCATGAGTATCATAATCTTAACTTGTATACATAGTTCGTTTCAATTACCTAGTTAAGACAGTTCGGAACGGTATACAGATAAAGAACATTAGTGAGACCATCTAACATTCCATTCTATCTTTCATTCACGCATATCCTTTCATTCTAATTAGTTCACTATATATATCTATATATCGTGTATGTGTGTGTTATGATATATATATACATACATATATACATAGGTATATGTGTGTATATTTGTGTATGTATACATATATCTATATATGCATGTATTAATTATCAGTTAATATTTAATACTTTAATAAGGATACGTCGTAACTGCTTCAGCGCCCTGAGTCGAAATCAAAATATATACGAGTAAAGATAGTACGAAAAAATGAAACGGAGAGCGACACGGGTGCGCCATTATTAGGATTACGCCATATACATATACATTTATTTATATATACTTATTTATATATATATATATATAACTTTTTTTCAAATAATATTTATATTTTCAACGTTGTATCTTTTCGCACGAAATCTGAAATACAGTCGTACGTATGCATCTGCACAATTGCGCGCGCGTGCATATGTATACGTAGTACGTAACTTTACATCTTTACTATGGATACATCATGCATCAGCCAACTATGTATAATTTCCACGATGTATGTACGTTTAGAATCGTCATGATACAAAGCCAACCTCAACAACGTTATTTCTGTTATCTCGGAAAGATGATTCTCGTTTATATACGACACGCTGTCCAGTATATATAAAGCTTGTATGGAACTACTTTGGACCTCCTTCCTCTATGAAAACACGTTTATCAATAACTCCTTCTCTCACTCAGCTTTCATTCATTTTTTCTCTCACATATCACACGCATACTCTCCCAGATTCTCCCTCATTTTCTACCAACTGCTCCTTCGATTACTGGAAAACACTACAATGTCGATGCATTACTATCACAGTCAACTCTTACGGAATAGTTGCATCCACGCATTTCATGGAATTCTAAACGCAATACGGCTCGTATATTTTTTTTCTTTTTTGTAACTCTGTCTCTAAGCTCTCTACATTTTTCTTTTCTTTGTCCTCGCCTTACAAGACTATAAATGTGTATGTTTACACTGAGGCTATGCGTATCTGTGTAAGGCAACCGCCGTAAACTGAGTAAATCCGTATATACGATATACTCAATCAGCAGTAGAAATATATATATATATATGTGTATATATATGTATATTAATGGGAATCTATTGCGTTTTTCCTTCGGCACCGTTGTGTCTCCTGGAGGATGATCCAGTAGCAAGCTTCGATATTCTTTATTTTTTTGCGAGGACGGGCCGGTTCCTTACGGATGACATAGAATAACGAGAGCAAGCAGGGTACATTTCCTAGGCATATTACACGGTATTTACAAGGTTGATGCTTCGTCTGCTCCACTTCGATCAGAATTCCTGTAAAAAAAATCATTTTCCTTGATGATAATACACTGTGAAACTGATAGTCGATGATAAGCACAGTAGTCTCCGGATAAGTGATAACATTTTTCGCACTTAACGTTTTGTGCAATTCACTCTATTATAAGTTTTTGTACCATTGCCATCTTCGTTGTAGAAAGTTTGACGAAATAAATACTACTCCGGCTAACTGAACACGAGCGGAACCGTTTCGCTTATCTGAAAACTACTTAAACACCGTATCTGTTTAATAATTAATTTACAAGCCTTCGATGGGTGTGCTCTTCATATTTTTACATTTTATCAATGAAGTTGTTGAATTGTTGGTGTGCAGATACGTTAACTAGAAATCGGTGCCATTAGTAGATGAATCTGGTAGAAACTATGGATATACTTCGAGTAGAACTGTGCATTGTTAGACACGTATCTTGTGTAGAAGGGAATTTGTCCAAAGATTGTTAAACATTTACAAACAAAGCTGCTTTTGGACAGATTCGCCTAATCATGCTATATTATATATTAATCACGAACATACGGTGACAGTTAATTACAATATGCTCTAATATGCATAGCTTCGTTCCTTCTTAAAAAGTCTCTAAAATAATAGTACTAAGTCTATATTTGGTTTATTCGTTTTTCTATTCATTCACAAACTGATCCATTAAAGCCTAGAAACTCAATTAAGTGGAGTAGTGACGTAATTTTTTATCTCCATAAAAGATCACAAGTTTATAATGTCCAAAATTTCTAGTTAATTAGGATCACAACCCGCATTTTCGTCACTGATACTTCTCTCCACGACAAGGGGGATACCAAATAGATACCTAATCTCTTCACAGGGCACCGAATGGATCGAGTTGGACTTGATTATTTTGTGGCTGCGTAACAGCCTGGGGTTGTTGCTGTGGTTGCGGTTGCTGTTGAAGATTAGCACCCATCATGGGATTTGTGTTGGGCATCATCATTGGTGCAGCTCCTCCTGTGACCATCATGCCACCGGGACCGCCAGGCATTGTGCTCATCATCGGCCTCATGCCCTGCATGCCCATTGGCACACCTTGCATTCCCTAGGGACACCAGAAAGCCGACCCATCAGATACAGCTTCTACTTCTGGAACTTTTACTATTTCGAGTCCAACTGTTTCCATCTTTTCTCTTCTTTAACAATGTTCCCAACAACTGACCATTTGTGTTCAATCAAATCTAAATATATGTACTTCACTGCGACAGTTTTTGGGGATATTGTGTTTCGGTATCTCATACTTAAAATTATGTAATTTGTGTTGGAGTTTTGTGTCAATTTAGATATGTTTACGTATACATGTAAGATTAAGTTTAATATATTGATATCTCCATAGACTTATCGTATTTAGTGTACAGTAGATATTTATAAAACTAGCATTAAGTTTATCATACAACAGAGTGTTTGTATATGTAGCAATCAAACAACATACGGAAAAATATGAAGTTAAGTTCACTAGAGGAACTAGTTTAAATCAAACAAGCAAGTGCATCACACATATGAATTAATGCAAAGCAGGGAACATTAAGGATGTGTACACCAATAAGGAAAATAGTTACAAAGTTTAGTTATTACTTTTTACAATTAATATATGCTAACTATACAATTAATATATTCTAATCAGTGACTAAGAAAAACTTCTCTATATTAAAAAGATTCGCTAACTATCTGATCATTGTTTTCCTACTAAACTAAATACTCAGTCTAGTTAGTCACGACATTCGTTATGTATGGCAAACTGAAATCAAACCTTCGTCAAGCCTTCTTTTCCGTTATATCTGTTTAATTTTTACAAAGTCGAACTTACCAATGGTGCAGTGTGGGTAGGGAAGCCCAAAGTGGTCGAAGGAAGTTGCGTCATTCCTTGTCCCTGTAACAGCAGGTAGCATGCCAAATGCCATGCATGCATTGTACAGCTAAGTGTATAGATCAACGAATATGTTCTGTATATTCTAATATATATTTCTTGAGTGACCTATGCCAACGTGGTCAGAATTTTCTGTAAATTTAACTTATTCTAATATACTATTTCACAAAAAACTTATAAAACTTTTATTTTGTGTTCAATGTTACAGTGGTAATTGGATATAAAACAATGCACAGTGCAACAAACGTGCAACACGATTACCTAGCTCGGTGCATTTGAGTATTAGAAGGAGTAAGTGTCCATTATTATTATTGCTTATATGGAAATTAATGAGTGATAAAGCAAGCGCGCTATGACTATAATCTAAAACCGTAAAAGTGTCGTAAATTTCTTGTGATAGTTTTCTCGTGACTAGACTCACTTATCGATTATAATTAATCGTGTAAAAACATAATTAAGCACGGTTGTATCATACATCTAAAAACGGAGATAATTATTTATAGTTGATAGTAATCCGATAATAATTAAAAATAGCATGCTGATAATGATTCAGTGTCAAATGACAAGTGTAGATAAAAGTGTCGACATATATCAGAGAAACAGAATGATACTAGGGGTCACAATACTTTCTTGGTTAAGATATCGTGTTTAACAACGTGCTGATTCAACATCAGCACGTTGAACTCACCATTGGGCGATACCCAGCACCAGTCGTAGCTGCCATAGGTTGTGGTGTCCATCCTCCAGCTGGGCCACCAGTTTTAGCAGCATTTTTAGGGGAATTCCATTGCATACCCCTAAAAAATGATAAGAATTACTATCATGACGATATTCACTATATAGGTAAAATCAGGTTTAAGACGTATCATATGTAAACAATAATCATTTCAACGATACTTTAAATTCGAGAAAATTATAGTATGGTAGATCACGCGACGCAAAAGTGTTAGATAAATAGAAGACAGTTTGAATGAAAAAAATTTGTATCTTACTTGACTTGCTGCTGCGCACTCTTGTTGATAGTCAAGTTTTGGGCAAGACTAGCAAGACTACTATCCAAATCTCCAGTCAGAACTTTGCCAGTAGATGCTGCATTCTGCTGCTGCCCTGCTGCTGAAATATTATTATCTCCAGCTACAGTGGTAGGCATCAGCACCGTGCCCAAACCGTCAAAACCTAAGCAACATCTACATCAGCCAAAGCCCCAGAAAGCGAAACCCAAGATCGCGCATTCTTATTGCACATTGAGTGACGAATGAATATGAGATACATTTCTTGAAATAAAAGAAAAGCATGGGTCTCAACAAAAATTATAATAATACCGAGCTACTTGTAATGAAATGAGATAAATTATAATGAAATAAGAAATGCAAGTAATTAATCAAGTATAATTACCCTCCTTAAGAATTTATACATGAAAGGTGTAACATTCGTGTACATAATTTTGGAAAAGCCATGCTTTTTACTTTGAATAAAATATACAGTGCGAATGTACATCATTATTTTAATTAAAAATAATATGTACTTATTTATCATGATATTTACATTATGAAATCATGAGATTACATTACAGAATGTACAGTATACAATCGTTCGATTCTTTCTGATTTGATTTATAACGTTAACTTATTAATATTCAATAGCAGATAATTAAATGTGTTAGAACGAAAATATAAAAAATAGAAAGGAATATTTTAAACGATACATAATATATAATTATAATATAATAATATTATATATTATACATTCATAATTAATTGTATAATTATCATCGGATAAGTGATTACATGTCACCGCGGCTTTCAATTTAAGTAATCTGCTTTGTGATTACTTATCCGGGAATTACAATATAAGAAAAATTCCTATCATTTTTTCTACAAAAATAAGTTGTAAAAGACTTTAGATGATAGTCCATGCCAGCACTAATAAATATACATGCAAACATAATAAATTTACATCAAATAATCAATCTTCATCAACAACTCAGTCATTTACTTTATAAACTAAGAATAAATACGCAAATCACTGATGCTGCACATCCCTGAGCTCGTACCTCTGTGGCGAACATAAAACTAGCATCACAAGCTTGTTTTATCCATCTAAATCATTTATGCTAATAGTAAAAAATTCTAATACCAGCAATTAAGCGCTACGCAAAAAATATATACAACAATCAATAGAAAAGTACGTAGCTCATAAGGTCTATTAAGAAGCATCACTGATTTCTCTGCCATGCAAAGAGGAGAACCATCTATACATTCCCGTCACCTGAGATCGGTTGCTTTGCCGGGGAACTGTACCCCGCCGGGACTTGGGTGGGAATACCGTAGCCGACCATCGGTCCGCCAGGCATGGCCGGCTGCCCGGTGGCAGCCATATTAGCACCCATATCGAACATGCCAAAACCCTGTTGTAGAGGTTGCTGTGCTTGTTGCGCGGTCGGTGGTTGCTGAGCTATGGGTGCCGGCCTTGACGGAGACCCGCCCAGTGCCATACGAATGCTATCATTTAGATCGTCGAACGCGCTCTTACTAGGAGCGGCGGCGGCATTTGTAGTGTCAGAGGATGATTTTCCAGCCGCCGCTCCGGACACTGTTGGCGAGGCTGGTCTAGGTGTACCGTTCATCGCTGTCGCGGGAGGCGGCGGTCTGGGAGGCGGCGTGGCAGTGGACTTACCGGAAGTCAGAGTCACAGAGGATGCTGCCTCCGCGGCAGCGTCCCCAGTGACACCCTCTGCGGTCTTGAGCACTGCAGAGTCGCTCCCAAAGAGATCTGCCTGGCCGCCAGCACTGAACAGGTCTCCGGCTTGCCCTTGTTGTTGGCCCTCGCCACCGCTTGCATTAGCGGCAACGTTCGCGGCACCCTGCTCGAAGAGACCGAAAGCGGCTGCGTTTGACTGCGTTGGCTGGGAACCAAGGGAAGGGAAGTCGGACATAAAAGGGTTTAATACGGATCCGGCCGTTCCTGGAGCACCAGCTTGCGCAGAAATCAAGGTGCATTGATTATTAGCCTTTTTTTGTTAATGCTCGGTTAATTGCCGCGGAGTAAAGGATGCTTTGCTATTATTTGTCGTGCTTTGTCCTACCACGTGCGCGCTCCATTTCGATGAGACTACATAAACATACACGAGTGTAACTATAAAGTCCCAAAATTGATCTACTCGATAGAATACTATGATAGCTCTTAGTGTTTACTTTATTGTTACTTAGCGTTAAACTTTATTGTTACACCGTGTAAACTGTGCATTTGTAGTAAGAAACATGGCTGTTATTTCAATCTTTGACTGGGATTTTATTAAAGTAACGATACCTCTTATCAAGATACTGATACCGTGATATTTGACAAATTAATTTCGAAGTTAAACAAAGGAGAAACTCTCTTTTGAGCTCGAAAATTCAATTTAATTACGTTATTCTTGGCAGTTTGCCACAGCCGTTTCGATAGATTAATTTGCACAGGCATCGTCAATGAATCTAAACGATTTAGTAAGATGCAGAAATATGATACAAAATCTGAAGCGAAAACTCCTTCACCATAAAGAAAGATGAATATATACACGTACAATGTGAATGTAATAAAAAGATACGGTGCACAGTTTAACGTGACAAGTGAAAGAATAAAACTTCTTATCTTGTAAACCAATAAGAATGGTCGAGATACTCACCAGATTGAGAGTCTTGATTACCGAATACGGAAGAGAAACTGTAATCTGTAACAAAGTTATTATTTGCTGGAGGCACTGCGGCGAAACCTACAAAATCAAAATAGCGTCGATGAAACAACATAAACATGATGATAACATAGCAGTCATTAAATAAAAATATACAATGCCAATGAATAAGAAATAAATGAACAAATAAAATAAAACTACTGTATTTACCATTACGGTTAGTCAACCATATATTCATCTGTGCTTCCGTGGTCGGTGCTGTTATAGTTTGTGACACATCCGCGAATGGATTGCCTGCTAATTGGAGTAGATCATCTGACGCTTTTTGTGGCTAAAAATAACGGATTATGATTTGTAAAAATATTATCATCAAAATAAAGGTATTTCAATACTCTTAAAGAAGAAAGTTCCGAATTACCTGACTTTCAGTTGACGCCGTCGACGACGGGGCACCAAATAGGTCAACAATTGGTTGGTTGGCGTTGTTTGTCGGCGAACTGAGGAATGGATTCGTACTGGGGCCACCTGATGGGGATTGCACTTTTGCCTGGAAATAAGATATCTAATGAAACCAGTATCTTTTTATAATAAATTGTTAACAACGACGTGCCACTTAATACTTTAAATAGAATAAAGAAAGTTTGTTCGATACCTTGTACTGATTCATAGCAGCTTCCTCTTCCGCGAGGGCTTGCTGTCGCAGTGCTTCGTCGATGTGTCCATTTCCAGCATGGTCAAGACGGTTATTACTGGCTGCAGTTCCAAACGCAGTACTGGTGGAAGACAGGGCGGACACTCCCGACTTTACATTCGTTCTATTGCTGCTCGGGTAATGATTGGGCGATGGATGTGTGTCGATGGAGCGATGGAGTCATAGAAGGAAGAAAAGGAGGAAAAGCCATTTTCAGCAGAAAGACAAGTGTGGCCGTAGGAGCGAAACAGGAGCGAAAAGGAACGTTGATCATTGAAAACAAAGGAAAAGACAAACAAAAAACAAAGAAACAGTGTAGTACGTATAAAGATAATAACAATGTATAAAAAAAATTCAGCTACTCAGTGCTCTTTCACACAAACGTACACACAAATACACTCGCAAATATATATTATGATACATGCGTAACACTAGCTTTCTTTTTCATAGATTCCGGTTCTTCTTATACAGACTTTTCACTACGTACGTTTTAATACGAATTCACACAAGCAATTAAATTGAGGAGTACTATCTAATGTGTCTTATAATGGAAATAAAAAAAAAAAAAAGAAAGAAACATACTTTCTCGTTTTCTATTATTACGATACACACGCTTATATTACAGATCAGTTATATGCAAAAAAAAAAAATGTGACCTAACTTCTAATTTTACAGTTAGAATTTTATTAACGATATTTTAGAAAGTTTAATTAATTTAAATGATATATTGATTACATAAGTTGTTACTTGTACAAATTGCAGTAGCTTTAGCATTATGCACAAGAAACATAGTCGACTCTGAATAAGTAATCCAAAAACTTAGTATCTCTTAATTATGGTTGGTTAACTAGAAACCAAACCTTAATCAAGAATATCATTTGTTATTTAAAAAGGGCTGTATTTTAATTTTTTTTTATCATAAAAATAATTTAAAATACTAACATTTTAAATTAAGTTTATATCATTTTTGCTGCAAATTGTTAAAAACCATATGTCATTAAACGGTGAATCAAAAGAAACGTAAGTACGTGCAATAATCATTGATAAAGTTTTTAAAACAATATCTGATAAAACATAATCTCTTGAGCGACAAGCTATGTGAAATCTCCGCAGAAAACTTGAAACAAAATATCTAGAAACCATAAGAAGCGATATTTTATATAGTTTACACTATAGTCTGCAAAACAAAAGACAATAAAAAACGAAAAAGAAAAAAAAAAGGAAAGAAATATTTCAACGAAAAAAGAAGCACACGTTCCCAAGCAATAGAAAACAAACGCCAACATTACCTTTTGCCCTACGATTTACAAAACATTTTGCGAGGAGAGTAGTATGATTAACGATTGGATGAAAAATGGGATTTGTATCTTTGTATGTCGTAAAATTTGCAATAGAATAGTAGCAAAGGAAAAAGTCTGATAGGGTTCGATGCCTAAGTATGTAACTGTGCTTTTAAGTCATGATGATTCTATATAAATTATTCTCTTCCAAGTGAAAATACCTTATTCACAGCTTTTATGTATGTATATATGTATTTGATATTTTACCTTCAAGTTTTGTTAACAGACGAATCGCAAAATATTCCTTAGAATTAGTAAATTTAATCCTACTGAGAATATTAACATAGGTTTTTGATGGCTATAGGAATTATAGTCAATATACCTTGCAGACTGCGTAGGTGTGTTCGCTGCGGAGCCTTTTTTTCCTTCCAACGACGCAAGGTGTTGCTCCAATGCATCTAATAAGCTACTAGGTGCCTAGAAAGTGTTCATTTTCAAATGTTACAAAAATATATTTTTCTCTAGAACTCCAGAGTATGTAACATTGTCAGTCATAGTCCAACAAATATATGCTTCTTACCTTTGTTAGATCAGGTATGTCTCCTTTATCAATGCCAACGTTCTGTAACAGATATGAATATTGAGTTCTAACTGTCTAAAATTGTTAAACAATTTCTAAAGCGGTTTACATAACTCATATACCAAAATTAATTTCAACTTACCTCGGCAACTTTCAAGAATTCGCCCACCCGATCCATTCGTATGAGAAACTTTTTATACAAGTCCAAAGCCTCGCGACATTGCTTTTTGTTCATATCAAAATACTTTTCTAGAATACAACAAAGCAGAAATTAAATATTTCTTTCGAAATATAATAAAAGAAATTAAATGATAGGTATACCTAGCAGGTTAATAATGCCATCATTATAACAGGCAAACAATCTAATCAGATCCCGAAAGAGAAGCATGAAAGCCATATTTATAACACCATTGGTAAGATCATTGGCACTACAATCGAACTCCAATAGTGCATCCAACTGTGACTGCAAAACTGGTAAAGTTTTCAACAATTTGTCAGCGTTTATTGTGCGCAGAGTACGGTCGTCCTTTCTGCAACAGAATTTCAAGAAAAAATAAACCTTTACCCAGTTATACAAAGAACGATTTTGCTTTATTTCTTTCCATTATTAATCCAAGTTAATTGCTTACCCCCTCTTCACCTTGCAAAAGTCAAAGGCCACGGTCCTGTAGGAAAGAGCCTTCTCATTGAGGTACCTTGCATATCTCCTGATAAACGGTGACATATCATAGCCTAATAAAAAAAGATCAATTAAAAAGAACATTTTCCAATTCATCTGATCTATACATGGATTCAAAGGAACTTCGGGTTACATTTAAACGAAAGAGAATTTCAATTTTTGTCCAAGAAGAGGTAAGATGAATTGGAAACTGAAATTATACAAGTGCAAAGATCTGCGTGCATGCAAGTGCAAGCGGGCATACAAGCCTTGTTAGAATTATCGATCCTGACACGCTTTCAGCCTGAATGTGGAAAGTGTATGCGACACGCAAATGGTGAATAGATTCATCTTGACCTCCTCCGTGAAACCTGAACCGAGTTTCAGGGGACATTGGATGGTGTTAATTTAATTAGAGCCAGAAATTACAAGTAAAACGTTGATTTCCCAGGAGGATTTCTCAGAAATTTATCACATGACATCTAATCACACAACTGAAATCATCAATTTCAGTTAATAATCTACAGCCAGAAGTACAGAGTCTTCCAACTTCTTTTTACATTCTATGTGAAATTAAAAACAAGTTCAGACTCTCTAATTATTAACATATCCAGGATTAAAATTTGACATCCTCTAATTGTTCATTGTCTTCCAAGTGTTAAATAAAACGATAAATAAACATAAGAAAGGAAATTAGTACGGGAAAAAGATTCAGATGTCGAGAAAGGGAAACGATAAATATTAAACTCACCGATGCGAGCTCCTGCTGTGCCCAAATAGAGAGAAAATTAGTTCCAGGTTAGTAAATCATAGACAGAGGCCAGATACACATAGCTGCATAATGCTAGGAAGTTAGCCAGGAAGAACTTATTATTAAATTTCTAATTCCAAAGAGTAAAGGAGTGTATGCATTGTTAGAAACATTTATGCTTTAACCCTCGTAATTGATTAATGTTGACAATATTTTAATATTAATTGCGTTAACAACACAACATTTCAAATGCAACGTTGAACTCCAAGCCCTTTCAAGGAAGTAAGGAAATATTCTTTCATTAGTTTTTAATAAAATAATTATAACTCATAACTTAAAATAAGAATTATAACATATATAGCATTCAACGTTGCGACTAAAGTGTTGAGTCACTGGATTTTCTGGTACTGTTAACATAGAAACCATAAATCTCGTGTGACTGTGCTCGCAAGCGTGCTGCATTCGGATGTAACTTGTTACTTCTCGCCAAAATTGTTAACGGATTATAAGAAACACAAGCAACAAACGAAAATAAATTTGAAACTTCATGCTACCTCGATAATGGTTCAATTAAATTATCATCTACGTTACTTTAATCTATAAAATTATTTTCTTACAATGTTAAACCACATTATTATTATTATTAATTTATTAAATTCATTTCTAATCATTATTCTTTGCATACTTCGCTCATTTTACATTATTTTTATTCAGGTCATCAAATGGATCAAAAACTGATCATGAAATGATTGTGAAAAAAATAATTCCAGAAATAGGTGTAGCCCAAACAATCTTGGTAACAGAGGAGGAATTATTTCAATCTGACAAAATCGTTTATTTCTCCTCATTCTTTTCTTAACATATCTCAAGTATTACAATTCACATATTTTGCAAAATTTAAATTTATCTATTTAACGTTTATTAACATTTTTGTTCGGTATTATGTTTACTATGTCTAATTTTTAGAAATCAAGTACAATTTACTCAGGATTACTATAGAGTTAAAAAGAATAAGGAGCAATGAACATTGACAGGGAGATGACCGGAATCGAGCATCTAATTGAACCACTCGACAGAAGTTAATGCAAGAAGATTCTTTTAAACAATGTGGTCACCTTGAACGCCGCTTTTATCGAGAAAATTACTGAGTTGAAACGTGCTGTTGCTGGACGCCAGATACTGTGTAAACCTCTGCAACAGAAAGGTCATTGCACTTGTTGGTATCATTCCTTTGAAATCATCTCTATTTATATATTTTGTGTTTGTCATTTAACAATCAACTTAAAATATTTCTAACAATAATCACATAATTTCATTCTTTAAGAGAAATATCTCTAATTACCTACATTTAATAATTTCAAAAAATGATTAAAAGCCACTATTGAAGTACCACGATGAATCATTGTGAACAGAGTGTGCAATATTTTAAAACAAAAGACTGTTACTCGAATTACTAGCATTAGTGTCGCCGTTGTGGCTCTGTCCAAGGAAATGACTATGTTACAGTTGCTGTTCTATTGAATTGCATGTGCAAACCGTAAATGTTAGACTCTGGTCACGGACTCATGCTATTCGATCCCGTGCACATTCACGCACAGGTGACTGGCAAGGGCGACGACACTTCCCCTCTTCAACTCATTACTGAACCAAAATGAGTTAGGCAATCTCTGGACAAACGTGAATAATATTTTGATCCTGCTACGAATAATTCTTTATGATTCACTTGTAGAAATTTGCAAACAATAGAAATCGTATTAAAAACTTAATTAATTTCAAATGTTTCTCCAATTCTCCAAAGGTATTCATTACAGATTCGCTGAACTTTAAGAATAAAATAACGCATAACATTCAACTAACGGGAAATCAGCATAATGGAGAGCCAATTAACCAGAATGTAGGAGCACAATTGTTTCTCGTATTTTATAATTAAACGATCGAATCTTTGCTATCCTATCATTTCCAAATTGGCATTCATCGAGTCGCAAAGGGAAAGAAAGCTCGTCTGATTGCCTTTAAGAAGTCACTTATCGAGAGAGCCACTTATGCTACTCCTGGATCCTGTTCTGCATTGCAGATACCGGAGGGGTTGGTCTTTACCTCATTGCCGTAACAAAGCATATGGTGCACCGTGATCAGAGCTTTGAAAACGACCGTCCAATTTGTGTTCTGTGACCGTTCTATCAACAGATTTGCCAACTGAGGTATCGATACGTTCGGCTCGTTCGTGCAGCGCACCAGGTCTGAAACAGGGAACAACAAGACTCCAATTAATCACGAATTCTTTTCCGCTACTTCTCTTAATATAGAATTCATACTCTATTATTTTAGTACCAGGAACACTTTCTTTATCTTTAACATTCGAAATGCATTATTGTAAAAATAAAAGATAAACTCTAAATGACTTTCACTTTTTTCACTTTACATCAGAGAGAGGTACTTTCTCATGTGCTAGAAGAAAAGTACTTTGAATGATGAAGTCACATGGAGCATCCCCCAAGGGAGAATAGCGTCGTACAAATTTTTCATTAATACTAAAGTGAGGTTAAGAAAAATTTCTCTTTGTTTACACCTAAAAGTACCTCATACGTTTCCTCGGTGTTATCCACAGCAGTACTAATCAAAAAGAGATCGAGATTAGCCATTATCTATATCAGACTGTTCCCAGTAAAATCGTCAAGATTTACTCAACATATTTGTGGATTATTTTTATGGATATATTGCAATTGACAGATGAAAAATCTCGTGACTGAGAAAATGGTTTTTAAATGAGAAGAACATTCTTCTGAATCTGGGTTGTCTATGCAGTGTCAACGCGGAAAAAGCCATGAAAACATCGAGTCAGCTTTCCGTATATGATTCATGATTCTCAACCACATTTCCTTATCATTTATCCTCCCTAGTTACGGAATGGAATGATACACGAACTGGACTGAAATATCTTTCCTAGAAGACAAAATTCCACCACCTGGTTGTCTAAAATTAACCTTCCGATCGTACCAAAAGCAGTATTTTCATTCTTCAACGATTTTCAATGGTACAATGAAAGTCAGGAGGAGAAATGAAATGGGTATAATGGCCGACAAAGGATATAGATCGCCAAACGATTTTGCAATCAGCTTCTAAAAATATCAGGCATATTACGATACCGAAACCTTCCTCTTGAACAGCTTTTGTCGCAATTATTATCTATTTCCTCCGGTGTAACAAAAGATCCAAAGATCCTCGAATCGTTTACATATTATTTATCAGCGTTAGACTGGATTTCATGCAGTCTGCAAGTATAGTAAACTCGATGTAATTTTCTGTTTATTTTCAAAGAAGAAAGCTCATCGTGATTGCTGCCAAAACAGCGAGATGTCTCGACAAGTGCTCGACCTTGTCACGCTTCCTCTCTTCTAATAATGTACTCTCAAATACGGACCCAGTAGTCGCGCCCCATTGAGTAGTGTTCTTACTATTTATAAAAGCCAGAAACCACGCAGTTTGATGTATACATGTCTCCTAATAGCATAACAAGAGAGACAAAGTTCTGGATCTTCAAAAGCTTTTCTGATTTTCATTTTAAGTTATGAGTTGAAGATCTCAGGAATTAAGGTTCTCGGGTTGTTCTCTAAATTAATCCAATTATTCTAAAAAAGAAAAAGAAAAAAAAATTCAGTAAGATAGTTATATAATGGATAGAAAAATTACAGTTTAAAGAGATTCGGTAAAAAATAAAATGGATAGAATAAGGTAAATTAAAAATGTACTTGTCCTCTGAAGCTAATACTCCAAGTGGCATCATTATTAATGACTGGTCTCGATTTACATGTGGTTTACAGTTCTCATGTTTGTTTACCTATTCCTTTCAGACTACGAAAATGCTACACTCGAGTTAGCTAGTATACAATAGACTACATACCGAGCAAAACCAATAAAATGCTTCTAGGAACCTTTATCTCATAAAATATATATTCTTTAAACGTTTAACATTTATTTTTATTTCAACAAGTTTGTACATAACGCAAGTTATTTCCTAGTCTTTCAGAAAGCTCTTTAGAAACGCCCATTTGAGTATAACTCGGTTAGATAAAAATATACTTGTTACTTTATACATTACTAAAGTAGTGTATAATATAATCTCCATCATTTCATCTTCCAATTTTCCAAGAAAAATAAATTTAATATATAAATAACGTCTTGAATAAAAATCGATGAAGGAGATGCATCACGTCTATTGTTTCTAACATATTATAAATAAACAAGGAGAACTACGACATGGCTGGGCAATATGGACGCATATTACTGTCGGAACAGAAGAAACCTCATGAATCGAACAGTTGTTGCGAACAACGGGAGATAGGACGCTAAATGTAGTAAAGAACGTAATCATTATCGGAATTATCTGAAACTTGTAGGGGTGTGCACGTTGAGATGTTTCTCTCCAGTCCAGACCCAAATGGGGGCGTTACCGATAACGTGTTTTGGTAAGACGATAGCTGCAACAAGCGCGGATTATCAAAAAGAATGAACTTTCGTACATTGCAAAACATGAACATCTGGTTACCTCGTTCTTGCATCATTATCGGTCCATGCATTCCATTCCAAAAATATTTCAGTGTCCACCATCACGTTCCTATTAGCGATATCGATATTTTTGAATAAAAATTCGGAACAATCTAATTTATAAATTATGTTAGTCAAAAGTAGTTCGATCAGTTATTCATTCATATCTATTTCAAAGAAAATTACTCACTTTCCTCGTTACAGCATGTACTATTTCTATTTCAGTCATATGTAATTAAAAAAGATAGTATAATCTTGTTTTCAGGAAAGTCGGTAATTCTTTAATGCTAAAGTTAACACGGTCAAATGTTAACTTTGCAATTTTTAATTAAAAATTCTCTCTTCAACAGCATTGCTTTCGTCACTTGACTTAATTACTTCTCTTATGTACGTGTATAATCAATTTTTTAATATCTATCTCTGTCCTTGTTTCTTCCGAGAATCATATATAACCTCATTCATCGCGCATAACCTATATGAAATTCGAAATTTTCTGATAAAAGTTCTTTCAGAAAATATGTTTCTTCGCAGTTGCACAATTTATGACAATCAGGATGCTGAGATTTCGTAAAAAAATAACGGCAGTCCTATAATTCGGTGTATATGTATATGCGATTCACGACATCCAACCAAGTAATTGCAGGGACCTGAAATGGAACGGACCGAAGGACAACGATTATTGTCCAAGAAGAAAAAGAACCGTGCGAAGAGACACAGGAAATATCGATAGTGGAAATCTTCGGAGCGATTCATCGTACAATGCCCGCGAACAATTACACTCACGGTTAAATTACACAATTCAACGTGTCTTAGAATAGATTATCGCAGGTGTTTCCCATGCTGCACTTTCGTACATTACGTAAAAGATCGATAGTAAATGAACTCGTCTTGAATCGATGAATAAGAAAGAATTATCTCAAAACGTAATTACAATAACCATAAAAATAATTCCAGCATTAATGAAGTATAGTCAAAAAAAGTTTTAGCGAAAGTATCAACGTTGAAACAGCACCGAAATGTCAATTTGGTCACGAATCAAAGATTATATAGTCGATGCTGTACTGGTCAGGATTCATCGATAAAAAGGAACAAAAGCGCACCCCGTCGGTGATGTCTCTTGATCGCGAATTTCATCGGCAGGCCGTAGTATGGCGCTATTTTTAGCGCGACAAGTGATCATCCATGGTCTCCGAATGGGCAAGCAATCAGAACGATCGCGAGGTCATCGGCTGGGAATCAAGTGTACGGCCGATCTCGGACGAAAGCTACCCAGGATACATTGCTAGTGAGCATGTACGAAATATCCGTGTCTAGTCAGTATGTACATCTCGGTTCTGCAATCGATCCGATCCTTTCTGATCCTCGTGCGTCATTTATAACCATTAACCTCAAATTGTAATTCAATTTTATTCCTACGAGTACAAAACGTTTCATTTCTAAATATTCTATAACCTACTTCCATTTGTATTTTGAAAAAAAAAGGGAAACTGTTTCTATAAATAATAATTTTCATTGCGTATTTCAAAATTGACTTGTAACGAAAAAGCTTTCAAGAATTACAACTTTCTTGAACGGGTAAATTATATTGCAATATGGCGTAACAGAATTATAGAAATGATTCCATAATTGCGACTAACCACGTTTTCTTTCGAAGAAAATTGATAGTCGGTTTTCGACAATCAGTTTATTCTTTCAAGATTATTTTAATTGTATTTCAATGGTTGTACGATGCTTTGCATAATTGATCGATAAAACTTTCTTATAAAATAAAATATATTGTATATAATTTGAACACAATGAGATTGTATTTATGAGATTTTCGAGGTCGATATCAATTACCGGTAAACCTACCGTGATTTAGTACACCTACTTGTGCCCGTATAGACATAGATGGCGAGTTTCGATCAACACGAGGTCAACCATAACCACATTTTTATTATCTGAGAGATTTTCATGTAAAAACCGTAAGATCTTCAATTAACTTTAATAGGTTATGAAATATGAAAAGAAAGGAAATCAATTTCTCATTGTCCAGAAAAGGCACTTGTAAAAGCTTTTCTTAAAGAAAAGGACGCATTGACGATTTGTGAAGGTTTCATCGACAGGAATTCATTCCACTATCTAAATTAGCAGACCGGAAGAAAGACTGCGAATTCCGTGAAGTTAAAACGGAAACGCGCTCTTGCTACTAATGAAATATGACTGTTAACGTTTTCACTTGCCAGAGGGTGACTGGAACCGATGATACAACGTGAAACAATACAACTATTAATTTTATAATACATTACAATTTCATAAATAAGAATTAAAAACTTTACGCTTAAATTAAAATTACTAAATCACTTTTCTTTAGGGAATTTTTCAGATATTCGTATTTGTATAAAATTGGGCATATACGTTACGCGCAAGCGTATTTATGAGTGGGTGTAATAGTGATGCAAATATACATGCGCATGTACAGACCATGAACTCATATACGCATAAAAAGTTTTAAACGAACAAAAAATTCAACTTTCGTAACGATTTTTTATTTTAAAATTCAAATAATATTTTTTGCCCACAGGATAAATAATCACGGCAATTGTGCAAGAATTTGTTAACGACTCCATTCGAGGTATTTAAATATTTATAAAAATACTGATATAAGTAACAAAAAAATCAACATTTTTTTTATAAATTACGTTGCGTTAACAATATCACAGTTATGGACATTAACAATATCAACGGTTATGAAATTTTTCAAAGATCAAAAAATAATTCATAAGATCCGAATAAAACTGATATTATTTTGAAATAACTTTTTTAATTATAGATTCAAATAAGTCAATTGATAATAATTTGACACGAGTAAAAAGTGCAAAGACCTGACGCCACTTTCCGACGAGGGTGGGCTTTTGAATTGGAACAGATACAGAGCACGCTACCTACACGTATACCTATAAACCTTGATGCAACCCATGCGACAGTGGAATCGATAATCACGAAGAACTCATGCGGTTTCCTACCGTTTAAGTACAAAAACTTGTTTTCCCGTTGATAATTAACTTCTTGCGCCATCGGGAATTGTCAAATTTCAATAAATGATTGCAATAACACACGATAACGGTTGATAAAAACTCAAGTTCACTTCTCGGCATTTAAATATTCGCTAAACTACTTTAATAAGCACTTATAATCTAAAATATTAATTTTAATGGTTACACGAGACAATATCGTAAAGCAGGTTAGTTTAAAATCGACAGTCACTGGAAATTAGGCCAATTTGCTAATAGTTAAATAAAAAATTATAATTCTATTTTCAAATTTACATTTTTTTTTGTATCCATATGCCGATAATAATATTATGAGTATAGGAAGGATACAAAGGATCAAGAAATATACTTATTAATACAATTCATCGACATTCAAATGTAAGACAGTTTTCCTGACGATACTCGAGGAACGTTATGTCACTAACGAGCTTCGCCTTCGTGGCAACATTCATAAACCGATAATATTATAACAGCTACTTCACGCAGGAAACGCAAGAAACTACTTTCGCACGAATATCTGTTATCAGTAAGGATCCAGCAATTTAAAAACTTTCACCGTTACTTAACTAGAAATCCTGATTGATTATACTTGAATATTTTGCAAGAATTTACGTCAAATATCAAGGATATCAGTTTTCGTACAAAGATCAATTTAAATGATTCGGTAAATCAATATGGTTATAGGAAATTTTCTAATATCTTAATTTCTATTGATACAAATTTACATGATTATCGAAAACGATTATGCCCGTTAATGTAATTGTAATGAACGATATATAACACGATAGTAGGTGCTTTGCCAACGAGCTATATAATCGATACTAGCAACTTGGACGCAGTGTATATACCTAGATTACAACACAAAAATGTCAACGAAATTGTGTTACTTGTTTTTTTTGTAATGAAGAATAACGATCGCCGTTGGTATAACGGTCACAAGAAATGTAAGTCGATACTTGAGCGGTTATTCAAAATTTCTGATGACGCATGCCTAGTTCTCGAACTATGCAACCGAATAACATGAAATTGTTCGACATTTAACAATTCGTGACACTAGCATTTTTACTCCTTTTTCCCGTCTAACCAATCGATTTTTCAGTCCCCAACCCTTTATAGGCATTAACTTCCGCGAACATGAACTGTACCTTAGAACCGTCAATTGAGGCACTTTCATTCGCGCAATGCCTGGAAATGGAAAGTAACCCGTTAACGTGTAACGGGTAGAAATATATACGAAAGGTGTGCACTTCGTTTCTCGTACATCAGACGTGACTAATGTGGCAACGTCAACACCCAGACATTGGCTAGGTTCATGTACCTTGAAAAACCGTTTGATCTCAAGAAAAATGCGTATTCCCGTCGGAACGTGATTCATCTTCCGGGTCGTCTATAACGGGTTACAACAATAGTTAGCTACATCTCGCCAATACATCTCCATGTGAGGATCAATGTTTTCAGTATGATAATCCTGAAGATTTATCCTCTCACTTGCTTCAGTGGAAGAAGAAATTATCGGACAGTTAAAGATATATAAAACAGTATTTGACTTGGTTAAGTAGGATGACTGAGACAGAAATATGAATAAAAGATAGGACAGTAAACTTACATTCGAGATGTTTCTTTTTTGGACCTATCATCTCTTCAGTAGTAGCTTTGCACACAGCTTTAGCAAGGCCCTGACCGGCGATGCTGTGTCTCGCTGCCAATAGTCTGTCGTTAATCGTTTGTCCCGCCATACTGTCGCTACGTCTGTCACACTGGAACTTTTTTCAAGCTCACGCACCTTTCGACTCGACTATCGTGTCGTACTATCACAGCTAAGAAACGTTGTCCAGCTTCGAAGATAGTGTCACACGCACACCACCCGCGGTAACTGGCAAAACGTACTCGAACAAATTCAGAGCACCGACAGGGAAATAAAGATTACGATATACACGGGGCCGGTTCCTGTCGGCTCTTGCCGATCTCCTTAATTTCGTGATCGCCAGCGCCGGCCTGCCTTTGTTTTCGATATCGCGATTCAATCGAGCCGAAAGAGCTCTCTCGCGCGCGCGTACAAGGCTCAGCTGGGCGGACGACAGCTCGTCTCACGGCGACGACAGAAGGCTCTCACAACCTGCCAAAATGGCGAACCGGACCTCCTACTCCTTCGCCGGACCGATCACTCCTGACAGCCAATCCTACTCTTTCTTCACAAACATAGCCTACTACCTCTGACGTCATACAACTCTAGTCAAATCAAGTTTCATTATAATAATTCGAAATTTTTCTTTGGTTTGGATTTTAAATATCAATGGTTTTATCAGAAGCTATGTTTGTTTCATTTTTATCAATCATTTTCTTATTTTTAATTGTAATATAACTAGGGTATTGTACTATTTTGATAAAAACTATTTGTAAAGTAAGATAAATTATATTCATTAGAAATAGTCGTATAATTTATTAACAATTAATAAAGAGAAAAGTATATAAATGAAATAATATTCTTGGCTACAATATCGATCGACAGGGAGTCTCCGTAACAAGTTTCAAATCGATAACAACGGATCAATCTCTGCGCACGCATATTCCTTATGTAGTAATCCATCTAACGTATATCGTATCAATGATTAGACAAAAATAATTTTATATATTCTATTTTAAATATTTTATAAAGTTTTATATGCATATGATATAATCATGTATTTTAGCAAACTAAAAATTATACTAAAATATTTAAAATTCTGCATATGTCATAAATAAAATGTAACTAGACATATTTAAAATTCATTCTACAGTATTGTTTCTTAAATGAGAAAACTTAACCGATAAATATACATAGTTGTAGAACATACGTAAATACAAATTTTTTGTAATTGTCTTCATTTTGATATTATTAATTGATTAATTTTAAGGGACATTAATACAATTAATGTTGGTACGAATTCGCGATATGACAACACATCAGAGCATAGAAATTGAAAGATCCACGAATCAATTCGGACCAGTGTTAAGCATAAAATATCTTCTTAAAAATGCGTATGTACCGACAATTTATAAACTATTATATTTTTAAAAATCCATATATTAATAAAATATTTATAAAGAATCGAGAAGTAACATATTAAATCACTCAGCTAGATTATAGTTATATACTTATATTGATTTTTCTCATTTCAATTAATCTTTTTGCAAATATTTTTTACATAATTTTTACAGCTGTTAATAGTGGAGTATCGTTTGTGTTATCATCAATTTTAACAGTTCTTGTATTTTCGGGGATGCAAATATATAAAACTTGGCTGGCATCATCACAGATTTATACGATACTAGGAGGATATATTGGATCAATATTATTTATATGTGTATTAACTGCAATAGGAAATTTAGAAGCAACAATGTTTGGAAAATCTTTTCAACAGAAGTTGTTTCCTGAAGGTATGTTATTTAATATTAATATTAGGTTAGTTTTTAGCAATGTAATATAACAATCAAATTTTTTTGTTGCAGTCATCTTTTCACTAATAATTAGTTTAATTGCATCAGGTTTGGTGCATCGTGTGGCAACCACAACATGTTTCTTATTTTCTATGATAGCATTGTATTATGTCAATCGAATTTCCCAAGAAACATATACTACACCAGTACCTACTGTATCAGTACATACTAAAAAAAGGAAGTAAAGGAACTATAAGAGCTCAAAATGATCTTTGTACCATATCATTATAGTTTAAGGCAACTGTAATTTTTGCAATGTTTTAATTTATGAATTTATGCATAATGTTGTTTTATTATTGTCAATTATCATTGACTTTTAATTACATACTTTTCCTTATTCCCATAAAAATAATTAAACTAATTATGATATAGATAATAAAAATCGAAGTATATTTAGATTATATGTAAATGTTTAACAATACTTTTGAATTTTATTTTCTTTTGTGTTTTTGATGCTTCTCAGCCTCTTCCTTATCACTGAAATATTCAAAAATCTCATCTGATTCATTAGCCTCAAGAGCATCTCTGTTTTCTTTCCCACCTTTATTATCTAATATGGGTTGAGACATAAGCTGTTTATAAATTGTCATTGCCTAGAAATACAAAATAATTATTTATAATAATATTCAATTTATCAAATAGCAAAAATAGTTAAATGTTTTAATAACATACTTGTGTTACTAATGAAGACACATTCGAAACGTCACTAGGCAAAATTAAGGTATTATTGACTTTTGCCAATTTGTTAAATGCTTTAACATATTGTTCTGCTATGTTATATGCTGCTGCATTTTTTGCATCTGTTAAACTTAGTGCACCTGCCACAAGTTTTAAACTCTTTGCACGTGCTTCTGCAACAGCCACTATAGCAGCTGCTGTACCAGTTGCCTTATTTATCTCTTCTCGTTGTGCAGCCTCTATAATGGGATCACAAACTATTTATTAATTTGTAAACAAAATAGATTACTTACTAAACAATATAATTACCTGATGCTAGAATCTGTGCTAAACGTTTTCCTTCGGCGATATTTATTGCTGCTTCTCTATTTCCTTCTGATTCTAAAACTGCAGCTCTCTTCTTGCGCTCTGCTTCCACTTGCATTTGCATTGCTTCCTGTACTCTTTGTGGTAATCTTATATCACCTATTGCAACAATTAAAGTGATAATTTTTGTTTTCATTAAATGAAGAAGTATTTTTATTTAATCTTACGTATTTCATATCGCAGACAAGTTATTCCCCAAGCTTCACTTGCTTTATTTATACTATCCACGATGGAAACATTAAGCCCTTCTCT